TTCGCGACCTCGTAGTTGCCGGTGGTGGAGGCATAAATTGTGGTGTGCTTGATCACTGTCTCGGTGACAGTCTTGCCACCGTTGACCTTTGTCTCGTAGGCACCGTAAGCGCCCGTGATGTAGCCAGTCTGCTTGGCTTCGATGTACTGGCCTCCGTAGGTGCATGTCTCGCCAGCCTTCGCAGTCTTTGTGGCCTCAGCTGGGTAAGTGACGGGGTGCTCAACTGTGACGTCTTTGCTTGGGACAGTGTAGATACCGGGCTTCTCGTAAGTGGTGACTTCAGGCTTAGGAGTACCGTAAGAGTACTCGTGGACGTACTCAGACCACTTTCCCCCCTTGTACTCCTTGACATTGACGGGTTGCTTCTGCTCGCCCTCTTTGTAAAGGCCGGAACCGGGGTATCCGGGAAGTGCGTGAGGACCGAGTTGGTTGTATGGGACCGACTCAATCTTCTCGTACAGCTCGTACCAGCAGCCGTCAGTGCCGTTCTTAGGGGCAAGACCAGTGGGCGCCGCGTAGCCGCCTGTTGCAGTAGCGGAGTGGGTGATGGTCTTCTTGGTGTGGTAGACGACAACGGGCTGCGCGGTCTTGGTGATAGTAGCGTAGTTGTTGTCGTAGTCCTTGATGACAGTCGACACGTAGGCATCCTCGTCCCACTTGGCGCAGTCCTTGCCACCATAGGCGGGGGACACGCAGGTGGGGTACGGCTGATGCTGAGTGGTCACAGTGACCGGCTGCTTGCCATAGCCTGGCACGATAGTCGTGTATCCGATGGGCTTTGCGGAAGTGCTCGGCTTGACGACGGAGCTGGACTCTGCCTGCGCACCGTATCCACCGTATGCCTCGTGGGCAGCGGCAGTGGCAACGAAGATGAGTGCGTACTTCATGGTGATGGTGGGTTTTGTTAAAATTAGATATTAGATGTAATAAGATCGTGTATAACGAATGACTGGGGTGAGATAATAAAAGAAAAAAGAGTGTAGGAAAGAGGTGTTGATGATTAGAGAGAAGATGTGGATGAGTACATGAACTGCGAGACACCGTCGTCCATATATACTCCCCAGTGGGTAGATTGGTCTGAGAGACACACGCCCCTGAGATACTGGGACGGTAGAGTCTGCCGCTCGCTTGCTTACTTGGTACCCTGAATCCGAGGGTGGTGAGCTCTAGAATGCGACACGTGCGCAATGCATGAGCATACCGTTCGGTAGAGGTCGACCCAAATGTACATACGAATACGGAGTACAAGCTTCGGAGTTATACGGTACCATTTGGGCCGATCTATCGTGAGCTGCACGAAATCTGAAAGGAAGGGCATCGTCGAGATCTTGAACGCGGTCGTGCAATTATCCTCTAGTCGACACTTGTGAGACTCCGCCTTACCAGAAGTCCGCTCACCGAGTTTTCAAACGTACATTTATGCATGCTGAACCCCTCAACGGCGGACCAGGAGGAGGAGTAAGGGCACTGTTTGAGTGTGCCTTTCCCGACTTGGCAGAAAGCTTGATACCCCGGCATACGCTGTCAAAGGTGAGCTTGTCTGTAGGAGTTGAAGGTAAGAATGGTAAATGTGCTTCCAGTGTCCAATAAGATCCCTGTGTCTATTTTAACACTCCATTCTAGACCTTGTGGCCAATGCGTGTCCAATAGCGTGATTTTTGGAAAAATCCCGTCCTCTTGACGCACGTTCAGTTCGGCTGATCATTGACTGTCAGAGCGAAGCTCGTGTAAGCTGTCGAGCAGTAGAGTCAGCTTGCGGAAGTAGAGTGGATCGGAACGCGAATAGTGAAGTAAACCTTGCGGCGAATGAGCCCATACACGCCTCTTGAGAGTACCTCATCTGTTTCTGCTCCCAGCATACCAGAGGTGGTTCATGGAATGCATAGATATGCCGTACGCTGGTCTTGCATTCTGCCCGACTGTTCATGACCCAGACGTTCGTGGTGTTCGCCAAAGAACAGACCACTTCAGGGGCTGCGCCACATCTGCACTCGCACTAGCGCTTCCTCTTTGGTCGAAATAGCGCCCAACCATCCGTACACGGAGATATCAGACCAGCCACGCGAAGCTTTGAAGACGTCGCAGAGTGGGCCCTGGAGCACGTACTTGATCCACTACACTATGAAAGCTTCATAGACACGCAGATGCAAGCTCAACGGGTCGACGCAATTGTGCCTGTAGGATTGAGGTTGCGACCGAAACACGTTCGACGAAGGAAGCCTGGATGAAGGCCGGCAATGCAGGACATCTTATAGACGTCGCATACGTTCTCGGTGTTACTTTGGGTCAGCAAAAAAGTCTTTCCCATTTATCCTACCAATTTTTTCGCAGCTCCCAATCGGCCTCAACGGACTACACTGTCATTCAAGCCCGCTCCCCAAGCTCTCCTCGTATCCACCATGTCTAGTCTCAGCTCTGTCTGCTGGGATTGCTGCACATCTTGACGGTGTAGCAAGCTGCGCGAGACTTGCAAGCCACCTGCGATCGACAATAAAAGGCCATCAGCTACTGTATCTGACAGCCTCGGAGGAACCAAGGACCAAGGCAAAGTCAGTGTCGAACGTATCACAATGGAGGCGCTTGGTAATGTTCGAACCAGCTGAGCAAGTCGAAAGGGTATCTGTGTTCACTGTTGGTGGTCAGCATGTTGCAGACAAAGTCGTCCCAGACTCCATCGGCTACGACCCGTCGGGGCGAGCGTTCGCTACCCATCTACTCTTCCAGATATCCGACTCCACATGTCATATAGAGTCCTTTGACAATGCGGTCAACATACTAGGAGGCTCGAGGTGTCCTTAATCTTTTCCGCAAGCGCAATGAGAGACTCGGCGCTACCTGCTATCCCTGATTTCGACCATGTCGAGCCCATCTACCGAAGCTGAAGGGTAAGTCGACGCGACGGCTCAAGGTCAATGAGTAAAGAACCATCAACCAAGACGGTCAGCCTATCGTGTGCTCTACCGATTGTATCTTCTCGTCGCGGCTCCGGAAGCAGTTCTGATACAGAAAGAGACGCGACCCATAGCTGAATGTTATTCACGTTACTAGGCTTGGCGATGTCGACGTGCCACGAGGCTGGAGTTTCAGACGCTGTCTTGCAGTGTTTGGAGATCAGACACCGTTAGCGGCTTGGCAGAACCGCTGCAGCACGCAGTGACAGCCGGATGTTGCCTTGACGCAATCAGTATCAGCACCTCCATCAAACGGTGCTCCCGCATTCACTCAGCTTGCCACTGCCTACAACAATGGCTTGCCGAATTCCCGCGCAGCAGCAGATCTTGCTTGCCGGTTAGTTACCCGCCATAGCCGGATGGCTGCCACAGACCAATAACTACCAAAAAATTACGCGTGCTCCATCGTGATGTGTGCTCCTAGCCTCCAAGCCTACGCATACTCAATAGCTAAAGGCGTTGACATACGTACGCGTTTCATCTTGCAGCGACGCCAGCATAAGCACTTAGCTGCATTAGCTGAAGGCGCAGTCGGCGAAACCTCCGCTAGGCGCGATTGGCATCATGTCAGGCGTCCACGAGTCTGCCCTGGCAGTAGCAGCCACCTTAACCATGACATCTCTCGAAATCGTCAAACTCAAAGATTCCATTTCAATCTCGAGATCCAAGATCGCTAACACGTGTTTCTTTCCCTAGCCACTTCCTCATCGATGTATTCAGCCAATCCCATATGACGCTCTCCTCCCCTCTTAGCCACAGTCGTCCCGCTCCTGCGCTACTCACCACTGGCTACACACCATGAGCGAAAGCAGGCGCAGTTCCATATCCAGCGTATGGTCTGACGACGACCAAGCCCCGTGTACCCGGTATTCTCTTCCAAGAGCCTCTTCTCGGTTCTGGAAATACGCCACATTGCTTATTCTGGGCTTTGGTGCCATCGTTCTCTTCTCGACAAAAACATCGGTCTCAAGCAAAATTCTACCAACACATGTTCCGCATCTTGGCTCCGTTCCCGCATCGTCTGCACCCGCGCTGTCATCACAATCGTCCCCTCGCATCGGCAAAGTAACGGCCTCATTCGGGCCGGAAGATCCCGTCTACGAAGCCGCCATCGCTTCTCACCAGGTCCACAATGAGCTCCACGGATACCCTGAGTTCATACTTCGCGAACGCATGCTCCCTGGTCTTTGGTCCAAACACGCCTTCCTGCTCGCGATTCTTGGAGCCGAACTTGCTAAGCCAGCTGCAGAACGGTTGGAGTGGCTATTCTGGCATGATCGCGACACCATCTTGATGAATCCTAATGTTCCGTTGCAAGTCTTCTTGCCACCGGACCAAAAGATCAATCTGGTGGTGACGAATGATCGGCATGGTCTGAACAACGGCGTCTTCCTTATCAGAGTAAACGAGTGGGCGATGCGTCTCTTCTCGGCAGCATTGAGCCTGAAGGAGTATAATCCAGATATACAGTTGAAGTATAGTGAGCAAAGTGCCATGGAAGAGACCATCAAGCGTGTAGGTGACATATTAGCTCCGTTCTACTTACTACATCAACTAATCGTCTTGCGACTCACAGCCATACTTCTCTTCCGCCGTTGCCTACGTGCCCCAACGGTGGTTCAATGGCTTCCCACCCAATCCAGACAAACCTGGCAAACCATCACTAGCCCGTCCTGGATCTTTGCTCATTCACTTCGCTTCAAATCGAGACGGGAAGCGTCCGGAGAGGATGGCCTACTGGGGCGGTATAGCACGAAATAAGGTGAGTGAGTGGACGAGGCCATTCAATGAGACGGGCTACCCGGCAGAGATAGAAGATTATTGGGCGAGGTTGGGTAAGGGAGAGGATGTCGAGACTTTGTGTAAGGATATTGGAGGCAGGATCTGGAGTTGACGACCTTTTCAGCGTCGGTGCTGAGGTTGTAAACTTCGACATGAGTAGATCGATGGGTCTTCTGATTCAAACGAACATCAATGAAACAACAGGGTATAACCTCCCCCTTCCCATACCGTCCTCCTGAACGCCTAACCAACGCCATCCACTCACTCCTACTTGACACTCATTTCCAAACCCCCATCTCTCCCCTCCTTGACACGCATGATACTGCTCCGCATGGCCGACCTCATATTTTCCTTATCATTCTCTCCACCTCTCTCCAGTCTCTCCCAAAGACCACCATTGCCCGGCGGACCCGAGCTGAGACTCTCCCTAACATCGACCGCAGAGTCTATTATACCTAGACCCTGCACCCGCGACCCCAAGTCTTCGATAACATCATGGTGTCTCGCCTTCTTCGCTTTGTACAGCGTCTGCTCCACAGAGCCAGGGAGATAGATGCGCTTAGCACCTAAGGTGCGCTTAATATCTTCAAGAAGAACTTCCATAGGGCAAATGTAAGCGATCTTGTTCTTTTGGCAAAAGGCAAGCACGTGGCCAACGACTTTGTGGTGACCGTTTTGTACGACCCAGGCTCCGCTGTCGCCGCCGATGCCGAAGCCGCCAGCAACGTGCCAGGAACGGGAGAAGGATTTGCGGTGGTAGATGCGGACGGCGGACATGACGCTGCTGACCATGCCCGGTTGAAGCCCGGTGGTGCGGCCGAAGCAGTGCACGGACATGCCACCGAGGGTGGATGCGGGGGCTACGCCGTTGGGGTATTCGTCTTCTTCGGGGGTGTAGTTGCGGCGGTTGACTGGCTTCTCCAGCTTGGATGCTATGGCGCGTTGTTCTGGTGTCATGGAGCCCAGGCAGAAGCGTCGACCTCCTTGGCAAATATTATATGGTTGGAGGCGGTCTTCCCTCAGTTTGAGGAGCGCCCAGTCGATCTCGTGGAGGATGCCGTCGCGTTTCCAGCGGCGAATGCCGGAAGAAGCGTGGACGTGACCTAGTTCATGCGAGGAGAGATGGTCGTCGTCGCGATCTTCTTCGCAGGGGAAGAAGTCGGCGCCTACGTCATCGATGGCTGGTTGTGTGATCTTTATCTCCTCGCCTTCCCCTGGCGCAATGCCGTCAATGTCGCCCATGGTTGCGTGTGAGATATGTGAATCTGCCATGTCTGAGACGGAGTTAGCGTTTGTGACATGTGTGAAGTGTCGGATCGACATACCCGCAGAGTCGTCATCAGACTCAAGCTCACTGTCGGAGAAGTCGAATGAATCAAGGTCAGCGTCATCATCCTGGCTCTGCACGTCCTCATCGTCTGAAAGTTCGAGATCCCACATGCCGGCGGGCTCATCCGACTCTAGGTGAAGATCTGGTTGCGCACCCATTCCCATCAACCAAGGATTGTTCGCTGCGCTGGACAGCATCACATCGCTCGGAGAAGGGCTATCGGGCTCTTCGCCAACGTCATCTTCATCTTCGGATGGCGCGTCGAGGAGATGATGAACGCTCATACCAAGCGGCTCATCGTCAACCAAGATGACTCCGCCATAAGACACTGGAGGCAGGTGTTCACCGTTGAAGGCTCCAATGGAAGCCCCGCATAATGGACGGTCCTGATGGTAAGGGTTCATCACAGCCATGTCCGCATCGTAAGAGTCGGTGTTCATCATGGATCGATGTGGTGGCCTAGTGCGGCGCGATGAACGGCTCATCTTGGACCGCCTGATCTTTCCCCTCCGGACCTTGAGGTCATATATATTCTCATCGAAGCGGAAGCGACGGCTGAGAATGGCCTTGACCTTTGCCACACTAGTACAGGTAACGAACACAGTAGGCTTGGCTTTCTCTAGTACTTCTCCGATGGCGACGAGATCAATGCTGACAGTCTCTTCGGAATCCTTGAGCGCCCGTTCTATTAGACGCTCAAGTCGGGGTAACATGGATGAGTGCCACTCTTCCACAATCTCAAGTGTGAATTTGACAGGGAAGAGACGAAGCTTCGGCCGAGAGATTGGCTCTATGTCGGTCTCGATCTGTATAGACGAAGTGACGTAGCTCTCACTCGAATCTACCGTCCTACTCTGAATTTCTGGTTCAGGTGTTGGGTAACCAAGGGTGGCTTGCGGCCAGTGTCGCAGTCCGTCACTGACGAGGGCCGAGACAGTGTTATTACTGCGTTTCTGCTTTGTCTGGCGCCAAGCCTTTTGGATAACGGTAATCTTGTCTTTATAGTCTTGAAGCGTTGTGCATCCATTGGAAGGGGCGCGAGACTGCCGCCATGCACGCTGAATCGTTGAAGCGGCAGTCGCTACGCGCTCTCTGTACAGCGAAGAGTTATCGCTTGGGTCTTGCGAATTTGGCGGGGTTGCGACGAGTGTGCCTGATTCTTCTAGAGGTTCTTTCTGTTCCCACTCCATCTCCGGTGCTTCTTCTTTAGGGCTCATCATGCGAAGACTTTCTGAGATGCTCTTCCGGATGGAGTGTTGCGAGCTCCGTGATGGATTACGAGCTAATGATAGATCTGGTGACTTCTTCGAGAGAGACTTAGTCCTTTCCAAGGCTTGCGTACCCTTCTCCAATGCCCATCGCTTTGCGCTCCTATAGGACGGACTTGACTGGCCATCGGTGACGATCTGTGGCTGGCTCGCGCTCTTGCGTTTCAACGGAGATGCTTGCTGCACCGGTGTAGCGCCCGGTCTCAGTTCGCTCAAGTCAAACCCGGGTTCCGACTCATCCAGCATGCAGCAGCGTTGCAATCTGGTTAGGATGCGAGTGTAGACCTGCGGGACATCGATCGCATTGTCGCCCTTAACATCAGCTGCCCAGAAGCAATCGCGCACAACCTGCATGTAGGCTGTGCCGCATTTGGAAGCGAGCCTGCGGATGTATACATCTTCTATCCGTTGCTTGAAGTCGCCCAGGGTGTACTTTTGCTTCCACAGGTCAAGTAGAGGCTGCCACAATCCTATTTCGAGTAGCACCAGCCCTAGGCCATAGAGATCGAAATTGGCATTGTACTTTTGGTCTTGACTTCCAGTGAACTTCGGGTCCTCCGGATGCCGGTAGATGTTCAGTGTTGGTTTCGCCTTGTCGGTGTCGATGTCGAAGTCAGAGAATAGATCGAAGGAACATATTACAGGCGATCGCAGCGAGTATTGCAATGCTCTGCTATTCGCAGACTGCCTTTTGTTCTTCTTGAAAACCATAATGTTGCTGCTATTGACGTCTTGGTGGAGAAAATTGTCGCCGTGGATCTTGCTAAAGGTCAAGGCGAGCGTGAAAGCTAGACGAAAGCGGTCCTCGAGTGGCGGGGTGGCACTGTTGGGGTTGTGCAAAGACTTGGAGCCTGTCTGCAATACACTGAGCAGCGTCACTGGCTTGAGCTCCTCGACTGGCTTGTGCGAATCGGATGGCCCTAAGTAGACTGAGGTGGGCAGCTCGAAGACCAGGCCAAAGCGCGGCTGCTTTGGATCTTCGAAATAGCCAAGGCACTTGAGGGTCCCGTGGAAAGACTGGTTGTTGGAAAGCTTTGTGAGTATTGACAGAAGGCTCTCAAGGCGCTGAGTGGACGGAGAGACTCCAGTGAGACGGTAGGCGGGATCGTAGCATGCGTAGTCGATCAAAACGCAAGTCTCTATGTTCCTGCTGCCATCCGTCTTCCAGGGGTTGGTGGAACTGTGGCGAGACCGCAGGCGGCCGATGACGCGAACAGAGGTAGTTCCAACGCTCTCGTATGGCGGAGGTTCCTCGTCGGGGAGGATTAGGTCTGCAGGGTCCAGCTTGGGTGGAAGATGGGATCTGGGGGTATGTGCATTCAGAGGAAAGGTAGCAGGATTGACGAGCGTTAAGTCAGAGGCGTTGTAGTCAGGCGACAGGAAGACAGGAGTAGATGTGCTGTGATGCGGTGTAGCTTTTCCTGGACTAATACCACGCTCATTGCTTCTTTGGACTCTGCGGTTCCGTGAGAGGTCATAGAGTATGTCGATAGAGGTGGTGAGGTCCTTGATGAGATCCTCGTAACGTGACCTGTCGGCGGCCGCCCACGAGGGAAGGTCAGGCCGGCTCTTCTCTCCAGACATTGTCTTTCCCCCACCCGCAGCAGACGTGCCCGGGTGCATCTGTTCCGCCTCATCGAGGATTTCCTTGATGGTTCCGAGCACGCTTGTGACCGTCTCCGTCATGCCTGCCTCTTCCACGCTCTCATCGATGTCGCCCTGCTTCCCTTTGGAGTTGTCGCTCCAGTCCACGCCCCATGTTATCAGCCGGTCCTTTTGGATTCTGAATTTGCGGTGCAGCGCATGCGACTCGGGCGTATCTTTGGCATCCTGCTCGACGACGGCATCGCATGTGGTTTTGGTGTCGGAGTAGAGCTGTGTCAGGCGTCGGGGTAGTCGACTGATGGTCTCCATGGTCGCGACTGCTTAGAACGTGTCGCAACGGGTGTTCTGACGCGCGAGGAGCGAGTAGGAGGGGGTATTAAGTGCGCGTGTATAAAGTCATGAAGGATGTCTGCAATGCGCCTGCCTGGAAGGTAGCCGTCATGGCGCAAGACCCGTGTTCAGCGTGACTGGGGTGCATTTTGGTGGTTGCCTACAGGCACCGCCTCAGCGCGCTGCCGTGGATGGGTGGGGGATGGCCGAAGCCGCCAATCACCTCGTCGTCATCTCCGCCTAAGCCTCCACCTGGCCGTCTTCGCAGCTTCCGTGCCAGCCCTCCATCACGAGGCATATTTGGTAGCACATGTGAACGTAAGAGTGTCGCTTGTGCGAGAATCGTGATACATGCTTTTATTGTACAGTATTCGCACTTGGTGCTGCTATTTCCTTGCTCTGCAACCGCAAACTATATACAGGCTTAGTCCTCGGTGAGATCACCATACTCCCACTGACCGCGGCGCTCCTCCTTGGCCACGTCCTGCTTCTTCTTCATGGCAGCCAGCACGTTGGCCGAGCGCTCCCACGGGCGCAGCTTCTTGGGAACCATCGCAAGACCTTCGCTAAGGATGTCGGCGTTGATGCTTTCAGTGCCGTCCTTGCTCTGGTCGGGATTGTACAGTGTCACCCAAAGCATCCCGTCCTTCTCGGTGGCCTCGACTCTTGCGACGAGCTCACGATCCGCTGTCTCTTGTGAGATGAAGCTGACGGCATCGGCAAGGTACTCGGAGTTGCCAGGAAGTTGAATAAACGCCAGCTGCGCCTCCACAGCCTGTGGCTTCAGCTTCGATGGCAGGAATTCGGCTTGTGAGAGAGGGCGAAGGCGAGACCACGGGATTGTCTCTGAGTTACCGTAGTCGATGTAGACAACCTCGGCCTTCTTGTTCTCCCGGTCGTTGCGTCGAATGCGCGCACGGTACCACTGGTCGTCGGCAGTGAACTTGGCTGCTACAAACTCGCCCGCCTTGGGCGCGTCTGGCAGGCCACTGCTGTTTGCAGGGTTGAGGTGGAACTTGCTGAAGGCGCTCATGAGGGATGTCAGCGCTGATGTACCGCTGCCGATCTGTTGGAGACGAAGCCTTCCGTCATCTTCGACGTGGGTGATCATAACATCGCGGTAGTCTGCCTTTCTTGACGATGCGGCGTCGCCGTTGGTAGCTTCAGTAGCTACCGCTGCCTCGCCGTCCTCTTCTTCTTGAGACGGGTCGTAGTCCTGCCACAGGTTCTTTCGGGCGTCCTTGGCCTTCTGCTCAGCCGCGAACAGTTCATTTGCGTTTCCAGACTTCTCTGCTGAGTAGGGATGTACGGTAGCCAGACCTTCCTCAACCAGCGTCTTCGCAAAGTTCTCACGGTTGATGTACAGAGTGCCAATGAAGCCACCGACCTTGTCACAGTCCTCGACATCGATTTCGACGTCTCGCTGTTGACAGCGGCGGTTCGCGAATTCATGGGCCTCCTTTCCGAAAGGTTCGCCCTTTTCGCTTTCGTTTCTCGCTGATCGAGGTGCGCGGATACCGGAGAGGACGAAGGTAAGCTTGGCGTTCTCGCGAGGTACTAGTACAGTGAAGCGCGAGCCAGACTTGACGAAATCGACAATGGCTGGTACCTTGCGTTGGCGCGAAAGCAGAGTGAGTTGGCGCTTGGCCTTCTCGAGCGACTCCGAGTAGTCGACGTACTGCTTGACAGAGGGCGACTTGTCTGACCAGAGACCCTTCTTTTCAGCTTGTGCGGTGGACTCGGCTAGTAGAAGATCGTCGTAGATGGGGCTCCTGTCGGCATCGTCTTGTCGGTGGCGGATGACGGATGCCATGCCGCTTTCTACAAGCATCAGACCAACGTTCTTGCCCTGGAAGGTGACGGTGCACATTTCGCGCTCATCGTAGCCCTCGGTCGCCGGTCGCTTTCCGTCGACGTGGAACTTGACGTGCTTGCCGATGAGCTTCTTGCGCAAGAACTCCTTGGCCTCGGCTACCCATGGCGATTGCTTGGGATCGGTAGGCTTGGGTTGGCGGACGCTGCTGAGGTTGATGCGCTTCTCTGCGCCCGCCTTGTTCCGGATGAAAATGGTGTCTGCGCTCTGGACACGACTAACGGTGGCTTCTTGCTCTCCAGCCTTGCTGATCTTGGGCGCAACGTGTTCCTTGTATACACCTAGACGGCCGTCCTTTGCCTGCTTCTCAGCGCCCCTAAGTATGCCCATCTTCTGGCCGAGGAGGGTGGTGTGGTGGTCGGTACATTTGGCCAAGCCGTTCTTGAGCAGGAAAGGTGTGATGCTGCCCTGGGTGGGATGCTTGACATCTGCGACGATTTGGCCGTTCGGTGTTGTTCCCAGAACCTCGACGAGGACTCCTCGCTGTAACAGCCTTGTCTCCACAAATTGTTGAGCGTCGTCGCCGAACGGTTCGGCTGGCTGCACCTTCCCGTCGGAAGGATTTGTTCGCTGTGTTGCGGGAGCGCGGACACCGGCGAGGAGGACCATTGTTTGTACGTGCTCGGTGGGCGAGAGGAGGAATCGCACGATGAGGCGGTCGCCGGACAGGACCTTCTCGACAATCGAATCGATGTCCTTGCCCTTGTTCTGTTCAACGAACTTGGTCGCATCGCTCAGCTCTGACGACGAGTTGATCCTGCCGCCAGTCTCCGCCCAAAGACCCTTGGAGTCTGCCCTGGCGCGTGCCTCGTCTACTTGCAGTCGCTCGAGTAGGTTGGCAGCCTCGTCCGAGTCTTCCTTGCGGCCGGCGTCGTCGCGCAGCTTCACCCAGCCCGCCGCGACGGCTTGTTGCGGCAATATCTCCTTGTTCGGTGTGACGATGAGGCCATATTCGCGGTTCGCGCCCGTCGGGATCTTGTAGAGGACTTGGAAGCGGACGACTTTGCCTACCAGCAGACGGCGGAGGTAGTCGCGTGACTCGAAGGCAAAGGGCTCGTCTCCCTCTCGTCGCAGTCTCGGCGCGGTCACAAAGGCTAAGCTCAGTGTGCGCTCTGCTTTTGGGTTGTTGATGTTATGGAGAACGACGGTGTCGCCGGATAGGACGCTCTTGACCTTGGCTTCGAAGAGGTTGCTCATGATGGACGTCGGATAGCTGCAGAACGCGAGGGGAGCTATTAGCTACTGTGTCCAGAGAGCTTCAGATGCAGGTGGGGCCTCGCAGCTGTTCCCTGGCACTTACCTGCAGGAGATGCCAAAATGGGGTCAATATTCCAATAGGTGGTTATGGGAGACGCAATTGATGTGTGGACTGTATGCCAATTGCTATATGTGGATTGGGAAGCTACGTGTTGTTATGGCGGGCAAATCTCGCCGTTGCTCTCAGGGACCTTCGGTGTGGGGTTCTAGGCGAATCAAGCTAGACGTCACCACCGCCTTCCAGACTCCTTCACCACACTCAACTCTCATCGCGAACACACGCGACAGTCGGTGCGACCGTCGAGCTTCATGTGTCAATCGTTGGTAGTGCCTCGAACCGTGGCTCCAACCACCGCACACATGCTATGACAGACCTTTGCATAGGTTACCTTAGCTGTAACCCTTTTCAGCATCTCTGTTTGGGTGCATCGTAGGGTTACGATGCCTTCATCCCTGCTGCTACCTCACCCTCACGCAATCATGAAGCTACCTAGCTACCTTCAGATAGAAACTCGAAAGTGTCTCCGAGTCTTTTTGACATGCGACAACGCCTAAGTGCCGCCCCTGCCAGGGGTTAGTGGACACCTCGACTACGCCGCAGACGTGCATTAGCTTGCCGCCTTGCTTGCAGTTTGAGGAAAGACCCGTTCGCGCATCCCTCACATGTCTTTAGCCGCAAACTCCAATGCGGCAATTACATCCAGAGTCAGTAGACACAAAGCATCCTTCACATCCTTTGCCACACGGCGCATCAACAATTCTTTGGCCCTTGCTAGCAGGATTTGTTATCATATCCAGGCATTGAGCCTTAACAGATGTCGACATGTATTGCTTTGAACGTGCGCGCGAACAGCCAATAAAAGCAGACGTCGAGCAGTCAACACCGACAACAGACTTACCTCTCGTTGGCACAGTCGTGGCAGAGGGGAGTAGATCACGGTATCATGGGCAGAATGACAAAATCACGCTCCTTAATCAGGCAAGAGGTTTGGAAATCATCTACAAAACATGATACTGACAAAACACAGTTCCTCGATGTCAAAGATTTCCTCAACAAGATGGCTAGTGATGAGCAGTTGATGGCGTCTGCAAAGAAAGTCAAATTTCTTCAAAGCAAAGCGAAAGGAGATCCAATTCGGCCGCCTGAACGCAATCACGATTCTGGATGCTCGCCATCGTTACTAAAGCTATGGGAGTCTCTACCACCAAAGCCGTACTGTGACAAGTTGGTTTTCACATACTTCCAGTATTTTGAGCGTACCATGCGCGTTCTGCACCGCCCCACTTTCATGCGTCAGTACGAAAGACTGTGGCTTGACAGCAGATCCGGGCTTGATCCCTCATCCAGCATCCTCGCGCTGCTCACAAGCGTTATGACCAGGGCTTACTTGCTTGACGATACGGCCAAAACCGATGAAGCAGACAATTACAGAGCCTATTTGCGGGGTACAGCTATCAACCACATCCAAGAATGGCTCGGGGAACTTGGACGAAAGCAGCGAACGGAGCTATCAACTCTTCAAGTCGAATTACTTGTGCTACTGTCTGGTAGCGTTAGCCACTCTGACCCAGATAGAATTTGGAGCCGCAGCGGTGCCATGATGCGGTCAGCTATGATCATGGGTTTGCACATAGATCCTGCGAAGATAAGGCATCTTTCGCCGTATCAGATGGAGATGCGAAAGCGGCTATGGGCGTCTGTTTTGGAGTCGGAAGTACAAGTATCTATCATGACTGGTATGCCCTTGGTAATCCCCGAGCTCGGATCTTACTGTCCGGTACCAGCAAATCTGTATGACGAGGACTTTGACGAGTCTTCATCGAAGCTACCTCCCCCCCGCCCGCTTTG